CGGTACACCACCTCTATTTTTATGCCTTTTGTGGAAGATTATTTTCGAAACTGATCGAATTAGTCCGATCGCGTATAAAATCTTAGAAAGGATTGGAGCCCGAGCTTTGTCGGCGCATCTTCGAAAATTCTGTGATTATCTCGTATTTGAATTTGCTAATAGCGTGGGTGGACAACATGTAAATAAATGTGTAGATACAGTTAACGATATGATATGGAAATACAATATTGTAACTATTGATAGATTAATTCTTTGCCTGGTACTGAGGACTCACGAAGGCAGTGACGCGCAGGTATGCTTTTTTATAATTCAATTATTGTTATTAAAAGCTATTGAATTGAGAAACAGAACCCAAGAGTTTGTGAAAGAAAATTCTCCGGAGCATTGGAAACAATCGAACTGGCATGAAAAACATCTTGCATTTCATAGAAAATTCCCAGAGAAATTTGCTCCAGAAGGTATTATGGAACAAACTAGCGGAGGACCTAGTCAATATCAAAGTTTGCCTGTTTATTTTGGGAATGTATGCTTACGATTTTTGCCTGTTTTCGATATCGTTGTACATAGGTATTTGGAAATACCAGCTGTGTCAAAAAGTTTAGAAACATTGCTAGAACATTTAGGATGTTTGTATAAATTCCATGGTTCGTATACACTTCTCTATTAACGATAATAATACAATCCTTATATTTGAATTAATCTGATTCGTTTTGTTCCATTTTTTTAGATCGACCTGTTACGTACCTTTATAATACTTTACATTATTATGAACGTAAATTAAGAGACAGACCACCTTTGAAACGACGATTAGTGGCAGCTGTTTTAGGTTCCTTAAAAGAAATTAGGGCTCCAGGATGGGCACTCTCAGAAGCTTATCAAATGTACATGACTCGATCTACTGATGATGTTGTCACATGGATGCCAGAATTAGATTACTATATCCGCTTAGTACGAAGAATTGTGGAAAGTAGGTGATTTTATTAAATAGTATTTTTTAAATAGTATTTTTTTTATTAAATAGTATTTTATAATCGCCTGTCGAAATTTTCAGCAATGTCAGGTACAGCTCATTTTCCTGCTACTGATTGGAGATTTAATGAATTTCCCAATCCTGCTGCACATGCATTGTATGTTACATGCGTTGAACTTATGGCCGTCCCTGTTGCTCCAAATATAGTTGCCAATTCATTATTAGATGTAGTTGCAAAAGGGTAAGATGCAATGAGATATTACTATATACTTAGGTTCTTCAACCTTTTAATTTCGAGTTTATTAGGTACACAGTGATACCGTCAGATGAAATTCATTTATGGATAAATTGTGTGGGTTTGCTATTGGCTGCTTTACCAGAGTGTTATTGGTCAGCGCTTCATGACCGATTAGTAGCAACTATTAGCAGCCCAGGTCTAGCTAATTGGAATTACAGTAATTTAACTCCATTTCAAATATTCAATTTTAATAGCACACATAACAGTTTATTAGAAAATAAATTCAGTTATATGCTGGCATTGGCACATTCTGTGTGGCATCATGCCGGTGTTGGACAAATAACTACTATGCCTCAGTAAGTTTAAATTTTGAATACTATATATTTTTAGTAATTATAATATAACGTGCTAAAATCCAATTTTATTTAGATTTATTAAAGAGAAACTTCAACCAGTTATAAATAGCGAAGAACAATTTATATATGCGTGTCATTTAATTGGACCTACTTTAGCAAGATTTAATGCTGAAAGGCCGAATTGTGTCGTAGAATTAACAGTTCGTCTATATGAAATGCTTGAACAAGTCGATCGAGTTCAAACTCATCTAAAATACATGGATCCAGTTTGTGATTTACTGTATGCTTTTTTATCAACTTATTTTGATATAATTATCTGGTAAAATATTTCTATTATTTTTATTCTAAATATATTAACCTTAATATTAACTATAATAGATATCATATAAAGTACATGTTCGTCGGGGATATGATGAAGAACGAAGTGGAATGTATTATACGAAGACTAAGACCTGCTTTACAAATGAGGCTACGATTTATTGCTCACATAAATATAGACGAAATTCAGTCTTCCTGAGACGTCCCCAGTACTAGTAATGCAGAAGTGAATACATGATAACATTGAATATCTCAATATTGTACATATTGTCTTTATAATAATATATTTCTTGCATACACAGTGTATGAAGGATATACCGAAACCAATATTTGAATCTCAAAGTATTTCCATATTTTCTATATTTCATTTCTATATTTCTATATGGTATAAATATATGCAAAAGTGCATTTTTCACGTATAAAAACATATAAATATGTAAAATGTTGTATAAGGAACGACTTGATCTTCGTGTTATAAAGTGAAATAATACATATAAACATAAAATAGAAGTATTTCAACAAAGTATTATAGACAACAAATTTAAGTTGCTTTGTCAAAACAGTGTATTTATGATGTTTATCACATGTTTTTCACAGCACATCTGACTAAGCAGTATTGATACTTTAAACAGGTTCATAAATGTATATTGTCGTAGTGGAAGGCATGAGTTACAACACTCAAAGTTCCATACTTATTTATGTAGTAATTGCTCCTATTTATAAACAAACACTACTCTACATATTTTGATATTAATCATGATAAATTTAATGAAATAACTACTATGATACCTTATGAACTTGAGTATAATTATTTCCAAAACCTAAATTATTACGTGTTAACATATACGTACATGTGCATGTTATATATAAAAATTAAAATACTTATTATTGCATAATAATATCGCAAAAGTAATATAATTTCACGTTACCATAATAATTGAAGGATTTAAAGTTTATCGAAATCAACATTTCCAGTTTTCAAATCTTTGACTAACTGAGCAAATTTTTCATGTGAACATTCGTTTTCTTGTACAAATGGCTGTGCCTTCATCTGTTGCATCCATTTCATCTAAAATAAATTTAGAAAGTTAGTTTACATTTTAGAAAACATGATTATTCTTTCACGTATGTTTGAACTTACTAAATGAGAGAAATTTCCATCATTGAAATTTGTAGGTTCTCCATAAATGAGAGATAGAGATTTTCGTCGTTCAACCCATGGCCACATAAGTATATCTAACATACCAGGTTGTGCTCCTAATAAAATAACAAAAAATAGAATCAATATTTTTCCATTTCATACTATTTGTGATCTGAAATTAATTTATAAACCTCCAAAATACACAGTTCCACGAGTTTTAAGTTCCTCTTCAAACTCTACTAATAAAGATGAAAATTCAGCAACAATTTCTTTAAGCGGTCTGCTATCGTTATTATGAATGCAGTTTGAGAAAATACTAACAAGCTGAAAGGCAAATCATTGGTAAAGTAAATGACTATTTTGTTAAAATCATTTTATAAATTCTAAATAATTATTTGCTAAAGCATCATGCGTATAAGAGGAAAAATTTGTAAGGTGAACTTTCTTACCTTGGAATAGTGATCTAACAGTTCTAAGTCACGAGTTTTTGTTTTTTCATCATATAAGGAAGGCTCAGGATATTTTTCATCTAAATGATTTGCTATGACTAATGAATCAACTATTACTTTACCATCAGCATCAACAAGTGCAGGAACTTTACCCTCTGGATGAATCTAGAAATATTATTAAATATGATGGATATTAAACAAAGTTAATAATATAATTTTTACATAAGTAACAAATTATGAAAAATATACGTACTTCCAAGTACCATTTTGGTTTATTCCTGATATTGATATTAACAGTATCATGTGGAATGTTTTTATAAGAAAGTATTAATCGAATTCTGTGTGTAAAAGGACAAAATTTCATACCATACAAACGAACTTGTCCTTTCACTTCTGCTGGTTTCTGAGAATCTATAAGTTATATTCGATATAATTATGTACAAAATAAAATTAAATTATAATTTCAAACAATTAAAGCCACAAATGAGAATGTCTTAATTGTTTGTAACGATATAAAAATTGCATTTTATAAAATAATATAATAGAATGCAAATAATCACTGCCTTCAAGAAAGATTTTCAAAATATAATTACATAAATGTTTATAAGCACCTATTATATTTATTGATACTGAAAGTACTGTTTTATACTTTATTGATTTATAATTACTATAAAATATATATGCAATAAAACTTTGAATTGTGATATAAATTTATAAATTCAAAGGAGAAAAATATAATAATAACTATTGACAGTTTAACTCATGTTTTACTAAAGAAGACATACAAGTCTAAAAAATACACAGAATGTATAATGTAAGTATGTACTTACCAGCTCCAAGATGTAAACTGCTCATAATTGTTCGTATTTCGTTAGATTTGTATCTAACAATAAAATGTTTAATATACTTCGAAATGTTTGAAATGATTATCGCACTTAAATGTTCATGCGATGATTAATTTCAGTAGAAATTCCAGACACGTGGTTGTTTATTAAGACTTATGGCATACGTCAATTTTTCTGCTTGGAATGAATGATAGAAATATTTCGAAAAGTTAGTATGGAAAGTGATTCCGCAATTTTCACTTTTCTAAACGTGAGTTACCTATGACCTACGGCAATGTTACACACTCATTGTATATTTCTTTTTGAAAGAAAGTAGGTCAAATCTGCGCATGTCCAAAAGTCGATTGATCGAATCGAATGTTTGAATACTATTAACTACAATTATAACACAAACTATCTACAAATGATTATCTTTAACTTGGAGTTAAATTTTACTCAACAGGATTTTTAATTAAAAAAAAATTTATTTTGCGGATGTCTAAATAATTTAGGTTATTGTAACACAATTCTGTATAAATGGAGATTCATTTTGCTTCTTTATTTAAAAATAAAAATGACAAAATTACATGTATAATCAATTTGTTATATTACATGATTGACAATATTTGCATAAAATACAATTACGTACAAAAGTGTTTTATAAAGTCCCGTGTAAATGTACAATATATTTTAAATTATTTTAATTTAATGAACACCGATCGGAATATTTATACCTTCGGAATGCTGTAACATATTTTTTCAGTACTATATTCATTTATTTATCACGATATAGATACGTAGATCATCATCTGAAAATATTGAAGATTGTCTTTTGCATTAAGGCAAGCACAGGCACTGAATTCATGACGAAAGAACTTATATATGATACAACAATAATTGCTTTTCGAAGGCACTAAGTAGCGTAGCTTAACAAATTAAGTTAATTGTTTACGGATCCATGAGATTGACTGAGGGAGGTCGAACATTTAGCTGATATTCTCCAAAGACCATAGCTGCTACCCATTTATGCTGTTCCTCTTTTAACGATCCTGCTAAAGTATTTCCAAAGTACGGAGTTTCTTTACACCTAAAATAAAATTTTTAAAAGCTGTCTATGATATTATATTCTCCACTATATGAAGGAAATTTCATGACTATATTTTTTTTTAATTTTTTGATTCATGGAAATGACTTTTAATTTAATCATTACCTTGTTGGCTTTTTATTCTTAGCTATGAATGTTATAGACCATCTGCAATAAGAAATATATACATACGTCTAATAATTCCGTAAAAAAGATGTTTGTTATGCATCGAAAAAGGGAAATGCATTTACCCCGTTTGTGGATTTCGCTTTGGCTCGTGACCTAAATACCAAATGATGTCTTCTACTTTCCACTCGTATAATACATTCGCGCATACTCTGTCTTTGTAACAATAAAGCTTCGCTTGACTAAATTCGAAGAGGTAGTTCTTAAAATTTTTCGATTTTGTGTCAGCAAATTTAAGTTCACCAGACGTTGTCATCGGTGGTTTCATCTAAAAATAAAAGATATTGTAAGATGAACGAATTAGTTTTTGCTATTGTTTTGAACATAACAAAAATATAATATATCCAAATAAATAAATTTGGCATAATAGCATAACAGTGAATTTAAGAAAGTTAAAATCCACGATATAATTAAAATGAATTGTCCAGTTCAAAGCAGTTTATTCTCGTCTAACTCTATAACCATTATGTGGTATTGTAACTACCTATAATATTATATTTACCAGTGGTGCTATATCCTTGTATAGCCGATCCTTCTTAAGTATGAGGACATTGTCCTTTCTGTCCTCGGGGTCCCAGTATCCCCACCTTGCCACTGCCTCGAGGACACGCTCTTTATGATGCAGTGGTCTTTCCAGTGCACCAGACAATGTATATTCCTCCAGACACAATTCATGAGCTGACAAGTTAGTCTTTTCCGCCAGTTCTTGACACACGTCGAACGCAGTCTTTTGTGGTCCAATCTACAGAAATAAAAATACGTTACGTTTCTTGAATAAACATTCAGAATAAATTAAATATGTGTACAAGTTCAGCTACTGCTATATTTTTGTTATATACCGGAATTGTTATATTAGAAAAATGGTATATTTAGTTCATTTCGAAGACAAAAACTATATTTCTCTTTTATATTTCACAAAAACAGGATATACTTCTCAAAAACAGAGTATAGAGATCACACAGGCTACTTCATAATCATAGCATATTTAAATCCTCTAAACAAAAAATATAATATTTCAAATCTTTATTTTTATTTAAATTTTTATTTAATTAATTAATATTTCAAAATTCCTTCTTTATCATTAAATTGAACAGAAGAGACCCTAAAATCCGAACACCCATATTTGAAATATCCTGTATGAAACGACAAGGGAAAATTAGATATAAAAAAAAGAAATTCTCACGGTCACATTGATGCATTCCCCGTCCCTTGAGAAAATATATATCCAAATTTTCAGATCACCCGATGGTGCACCGCGTAAACCATTATTCGAACCGTGATGTTTCTCGAGAATTTCCAGAATTTTTGCCTCTTTCGCCATATCCGCAGCTGTTAACTGATATAACTTTGGATAGAGTTTGATCAGGTCACCGATCACCCTAGTCTCGGATCTGTTCCATTCTTCCGCGCTGCTTTCGTCAGCGTGCATTAACGTCGGTCCCCAGATTGCGGAAAGATTCTCGCCGGTCATCAGGTTCTTGGAACTCTGCTGACTCAAACAGTAAAGGTGAGCAAGAATTCTTCTGAGCGTCGCCGCCGGTACTGGAGTCAATGTGGACAATAATTTCCTATACGCTGGAACTTGTTCGCTATCGTTGACGGTCTCTGAAACAGTTTTTAAAATTACATTTTTAAAATTGTATTTGTATATACAATTGTAACGACGGAGCATTACGATCTTTTAATTTCAGTCTTACTTTAACTAAGATTTAGTTATTGCTATAAAGTCCTACGAGACATTACAGTTGTGAATTGTAATGTATTTGAACATGGATAGGTTCCAACATAATTAAGCAATCGATTGCTGGCGACTTAATCAAAATGGACATATTTTGAGATAAATTCTTATTGATGATTATTATCCCAATCACATCGAACACAAGATACTATTTTAGTGCACGTTATCTTTAATAGTGACTAACAAAGATTGTACGCAATTTTTATCAGAGCAGCACATGTGTTTACTTTCACTAAGGAGCTTGAAGGCCCGTTATGAAAAGCCATGATTCATCGGCGACCTCCGCGCGATTCTCACGCGACGTTTCGCTGCGCACCAGACTAAAAACAAGTTGCAGACGCGTACAGAAATTTGTGTATTTGAGTTCAACGTTCGTTCCATCGCTCTATTAAAATACATAACTCCCCTTTCAACGCGTGACACATGGGAGACAAACAGGAACCGTCAATTATCGTTGCTATTAAAACTATTTCAAAGAGAACGTTGAACCAAAAAAAAAAAAAAAAAAACGCAACAATGATAACTTTGTTTTATATGACAAAGATTTTCTTAATAAACAATTAATTAACTATACTTCTTGCGCATTTTCAAGTACGATTCTAATTTGCCATTCTTGAAACGTTCTAAAAATTTTAATAGATAAGAAGTAAATAATTATTGATCTACTCAAGATAAAAAGATACATTCCTTTTTTATTTTTTGTCGTTAATAAAAATTAGTGAAAATACGTAGATATATTAAATAACACCACAGAGCGATTAAATCTGTGTATAATGGGACCGGAAATTCAACATTATGGCTCCTGTTAAAACCAGCTAACACGTGAGAAAGTACGCGTGGGTGCGAACACGAATCAACTTGACATTTTTCTTATAGTTAGATATATGCAAACGACTACAAGGGGCGATTTATCTACATGTTCTGTTTTACAAGATGTCTCGTTTCCCTTCTTATTTAAATAAACATGTTCTTTTAAATAAAAAATAACATATAGTTTTAAATATTCTTCGAATCTTTAATCGCAACAAAGAAATTTGTTTTGCGAAAGGCTCGGAATTCCGGGTCAGTGTAAGTTTCTACTTACAACGCAACGCGAGAAATGCACAGAAATTAGAACAGCCGTTACAAAATGTTATTTGCTTATTGTGAAACATTATCACTTGACGGTTAACTACGTATCGTTTGTAACGGTCATCGCTTCGCTCGAAGACAGCTGTGACAACTGTTAACTGCATAGTGATATTCAAAACCGTACACGTTTGGAAATCGCTTGTCTGAGCTGCAAGAAGATGCTAGTTTCTTCTATCTTAGAACGATGTTATTACGTATGTCACGCACGTTTAACATACAAAAAGGGATCCTCCGACAATCGAGAAAGTCTGGCGTGCGAACTCTTAGTCAGCATATGTATCATTGTGCCGAATAAAATAGTTGTAGTTATAAAATAGCAAGTGTTCCCCGTTAGTGATCCCTGGCCACCTGATGTACATAATCCTTAGTTTATATATAAATACGTATCCGTATGATTCAATTTCTCTGCCCATAATAATTTATTGCATTCATGCTGCAATTAGAAAAACAAAATTGATACTTTAAAGTATACACGATGAAATAACATTTTTTATTTATGTGTTATTAATTTTTTAATCTTTTATATAATATAATTTCAACGTATTCAGGTTTCTCGATTTAATGCTGTTTCATTGTCAAAACGTCCGGTTAAGAGAGCGAGTTCGAACACAAAAAGTCAAGGACAATAAGTGGTCCTTACCTGCGGTAAGACAAAGCCGATCGTGAATGTTAGGTGGAAACAATGGATTCGGTAAATCACGGAGAAACCTTCTGAGAACTGTGGCGACATCGTGTTCTGTATACGCGCTCCTCGTAATTTGCGTCGCCCATGCGTCGCGACGAAAGGCTTTTAATAATTTGACCACTGCACTATTGGATCCGTTTTGTCGATAAATGCCCTTCGACATGATACCTTTAACATTATTCAATATTTTTCGGTTATTTTAACACTGCATCTATTATATATATATTATACATATGTATGAAACCTGGAAGATAAAAATAAATTAAGATAAATTCAGATTTTTTCCAAATTTCATATATATCATATAAAATAAAATTTATAATATAATGCTATACAAGATATATGTATATACTTATTCATATATACAGAGCTTGGAAGATATATGAATTTAACATATACTTTATTATTAGAATTATTTAGAATTGATACAAGTTATAAGCGATAATAATAATAACATTAATAAGTAATATACTAGTATATTACTTGGAGGCAATCACGAGGAAAGTTGAAATGCTATTAAAAACCGGAATGATAATCTTCTTTTACTTGTTGCATATGCTACTGCATTGCACATATGCTTACCATGAGCATAAATGAAATTAATGCATTTGTCGAGAATCACAGGCACGTTATCTTGCGTGAGTTGTTGCTGCTCTAAAGCGGGGCCACAGGTAGTGGCAGCTTGATAAAGTGCGTGTCTCCATGCGGATCCTTCGTGAGTTCCTGGTGTAGCCATATGTAGTGCGCCGCTACCACCTGCATCGACGACCACCACCGGAACTGATCCTGCACTTGCATTAGGTCCTTCCTGTTCCCGTAAAACTGTAACAGAGCGTGGAAATCATCGAAACTACTTTTTTGACCGTGATTCATAAGTAAACAATTTAGCTTATCCCAAAATGTTCTGATAAGCACTTAAAAATGCGTGGGCTGTACTCTGGCCATTACGAGACAAACATATAAAAATAGGCAGTAGAAAATTGTGTATGCATTCCAACAGATAAGGTTCGTTGTAATAGCTGTGTTTTTATAACTGTTTCATTGCATTACTGGGTCGTACATTTATTACGACGAGCTCCGTAGCAAATAAAAATTGTTTTCTCTCAGAGAATCGTATGGGCAAGTCGGTCATCGATAATTTCATTTATTATTCTTTTAAGATTTAATTCCAGAAATAACCGTGTAAATGTGAGGCAAATTGTAAAGCTAGCGTAGGACGAATTTCTAATTCTAGATTACGCTTTATTGTTTCCTTTTTTCTAGCTTGCAAGGTAAATCGATTCTTTTATTTGTCATGAAGTCATGGCAAGATGACTTGTCACTATATTAATACAGTAAATTGGAATTGTCGTTGATGAAGTATTTCTCAAAATTAGAACTTGATATTTTATTTAAAAATATATAAATGTCTGAAAGTGTTTAAATATATAAATTTGTATATATTAAATATGTCGGGTTTACATTAGAATTAGGGTTAGGGGCGTGAAACGAATCTTCGTTTGGGTTACACGTTCTCGTTATGCAATAGAGAAGACATTGACTAGTGCAAATACGATTATTATAAAGCCGGACGAGTAACCGTGGTAGTTAGGTACTCGAGAAACTAATGACAATGATCCTAGGTTCAATAACGAATCCGCGGTCGACGGGATGATAGATGAACGTACTCGCAAAATCTAAGTCGGATGCGTAATGTTCACTGGTCGTAAAGGGTTACTCCTTTCATCAGTGAGGTCGCGAACGAGAATGCCTTTCCCGTCCCGATGCTGCTACAGAGGAAAACTATAATGGGGTGTGTCTAAGGACACGAGATCATCGGATTCGTCGAGAAAAGCCTTCGTTCAGAAAGTAAGGGAAATTGGCGTTGCTGCTAGTTGGTCAATCTCCATATCGGTGGTTAGAAAAAGATGCTAGCCGCCCTCGAGGGAAAGTTGCTAGTGGGAGACGCCGCTCGTTGAAAAATAGGTCTTCCCTATTTTCCCGTAGTTGGGACA